TACTCTGTAGCATTTCCTCGCTTGATAATTTTACATGCGCTGAGATGAAAGATACAGAGCAGCGCTATCACTGCAAGAGAAATAAAGAATAAAAGCCTTATCTCAAAGTTACCATAGCCATTTTCACTAATGCTAAAATCAACAACACATAGCCCCTGGCAAATGACGGACTGGTTAAAAAACCCACATACACAATCGTTATGTATTTTAACACTGTCTGATGCTATCGCAGCTCTATTAGCACTAAAATATTAGAATTCTACTTTACACTGGGTAAACAAACGAAGGTGTCAGAAGTTCAGACACAACTGGTCTCTCATTGTGAGCTCAGTACTTGCATCATGGGTTTTATTTTAAACAAATATACATCAATTAAGTAAAAACAGTTCCCAACCTGTCACTGAAACCAGAATGAGATAGCAGACAGTTTCACAAGGAATATGCACATTCCTAACAGACAAGCAGACAGGAACAAATTATCTGGGGTTAGGAGAAAGAACAGCGAGTGATATCACAGGCCGAAACAAACTGGAAAAAGATATTCAGAGAAAAAAAGTAATGATTTACGCAAGTTGCACACCCTAGTGTGTCAACAAAGGATACTGTATTTGTTTTCCAAAATAGAAAGGTAGCTATATTTCGTATTAAGGATCCAATTCATAAGATATGGAGAGACGATCATGTAATATCTCTATGCCATGCAAAAAAGGGAGGCCCCAGTCCATCCTCAGCTATTAACTAACAAGGGAAAAGTAAGGAAAACTAGAAGGGAATGAGACTTTATCCTTTCAGTGATGTTATGCCATTAAATGGAATTCATTCTTAGCAAGCAGCAGCCTAAATAAACGATTTATCAGGTAGTTGCTCTAGTTGTACCTTAAATCAGCCGTGCTGAGATTTGCACTTAAAACAGAATTAAGATCCACACCCTTCAAAGTGTAATGACCAACATTTCAATTTAACATCATTATTCTTCAAAGGACGGATGAATCATCCTGCTATTCCTGGTCCAAAATTTGCCTTTTTTCTCCCCCACCCAAGAATATTTAATGTTTCAGGAGGTTTTTTTTCAGATTATTTTACTTGAAGACCTGCAATTATCATTTTCACCTGTAACCGCACCTGCCTAGCATCTCAGTTGCTGGACACTTCACACAGTAAAAACTGCTTTACTTATCTGTCACAACACAGCTTACCTTCATACAAAAAGAGAAGATTCAAGGCATTCTCCAGTCTCTGATGATGCTCCCCTGTCATGCCATGCCATTTTCTGCTTGCCTCTTATTTGCTCTTCATTTTTTAAGCTACCTTTAACTTTTACCAGCACAGTATCCTAGATGCCAGTATTTTTCTGACGCTCTTTCCACTATGACTCCCATGTTCTGCCAAGCACTCCGGGCTATGGTAGCGTCCAGTAAAGAGAGAGGATGAAAGTCCCCATGCTAAGTAACTGCAGCCTCAGCATCTTCCCTTCTCACAACCTCTGCTGCTCACAGGACAAGAAGCAACAAATTCCAGTGAAAGAGAAGAAAGCTAAGCTTTTTTCTAAGAGGAAAGGACATGGAGCATTTAGCTGCTGAAATCTAATAAACTTCCAATACCAACAGACAAATCTTAAACAAGTTACAGAACCGCATGGCAAAAAAATGTGCTTTTACTTCCCCCAAAAACGAAAGTAGCAACAGAAATTGCATTCCCTCTCGAGATCAGTACTGAGAAACTGTCTTTCATAACCTCTGACTAGTAAGGTATCTCTCTGGTCTCTGCATGTTTGATGTTTTCCAAGCACTTTCTTGGTTATATAGCTAGCAACTGCTCTAGAAACATATAGCAAAAGTACACCAAGAACTGGGAGAGAGGGTTGTTTCTTTGCTTTCCGGTAAATTTTTCTCCTCAGTGGAAAGCATGGTGGGAAGGGGGAGAAAGAGAGGATAGGTTTGCTTTCATAGCAGCTCACTCCTTATCACTCTGACAAGAGTGCAGACGAACATTTAAATAAAGACCAGTCACAACTTCAGAATTTCTGATGTGGAACTCATTTTAGGTCAGCTATAAAAAAAACATATCTGTTGTTCATGCTTCACTAGTGATCACCACTGATTGGCAATTTACTGTGCAGAAACCAAGACACGGGAAGCCCCGCATGCCTGATGAGAAATCTGAACATCACCCAACTGCTGAAGGTTTGAGGGTACAGAGATTCCCATCTTTCTGTCTTCAGTTCTCCTTTCTGCTCTACTCTATGCTTTTTCCACTTAGGACTGTAACAAATGTGAAGCCCACTAAAAATGCATTGAATAATGGAAAAAAGGTAACATTTTCCTCTCTACATTTCTGCCTCCACTTCAAAGCCTTCTTATTTACCTATCCAAAAAAAAAAATCCTCAAGAAGCCTTACTGTACCTCAGCACCTCAGGAACTTGAAAGAGTTTGAAGGGAACTTGAAAGAGAACTATGAATTCCTCTAACCCTTTCACACTTTTTAATCTGGCTCATCCTCTCCAATTTGTCGTTGTCTTCACAGCTTTTTATAACTTTATCAAGTAGTAGCAGAGTACAATTCATATTTTTGGCTATTTCCTTTCTTGCAATAAATCACTTTCAGAGGAACTGACAAGACAAGTCAGTTGCCAGCGTGCTGTAGCTTGGAGGAGTTATAAACAGAAGGAGTAACATCTATATATTTAGACAGTGAAAAACATTACTAGAGCTCCTACATTTTTGTCTAAATTTACATCTCTCTTCCTCACACTTCATTTCTTAGAGAGCCTTCTCTTTTGGTCCAGCAGCCTTCCAGACAAATCAACTCAGTACCCTAAGTGCTTGGAAAAGTCTCTGTTGAACAGCACAAGACATTAAAAACCCCTTAAGAACGGAGCAGCACAAATAATTTCCACAGCACTCCTAAAACACACAAGCCAAGGCAAGTGTGAACTTCTCTAACATCAATGGGATTACTCTGATAAATGAAGTTGGCAAAATTGAGCCCTAAACTTGCAGCCGATGCTAGATTTTCTTCACAGCTGTACATAGGGAACTACCAAACCTACCCCATATAAGCAGTAACAAACACACATATTATCAGAATATTCTAGAAAAGCACATACGTTAAAAAGCAATTCACACACGTTTCTGGGAAGCTTTGAAATATGGCATTTTCAGCTGTCGGTGTATTTCTACACATGAACTTCTTAATCAATAACAAAGAGGTTCAAATTGTGCTCAAACACACCTGGGCACCCACAGGCATGAGGCTGACATCACATGGCACTAATCTCCACTAGATGACTTGTATATCTACTAAATCAAAGAGGATTAAAAAAAAATTTAAACTCAAAGTGTGAATTTTCTACATAATCGTTCTGAGACTGGTGTGTAAGAAGAAGGAAAATTGTCCATAAAAACATATGTATTCCACACTTGCTTTACCAAAGAAAGATTTCAGAAGCTTATGAACCATAATACTGCATGTGTATGTTACGAAAACTTTATGACTTCCATCAGAGAAAAAAGTTGAAAATAATGAAGTTAGAACATATTATCAACCTGGATAAGGTGTTCCCAAGTCTTTCTGTAGAATCTGTTATCTTCATTTTGACAGCTTAAGGTAAGTTTCAGAAACAGCATGAATCCAGATTTTATTGCACTGACTGACTTGGAAGATCACTCTTCAGTGATCAGAACATATATTCTCTACATACCTGGAAAACACAATGGGACCTAGAGCAAGGTCATCGCAGAACTTTCAAACAGTTTTATACACTTTCCCAAATCAGGCCATTGATATAAATACAGACTGCAAATACAACTACTGTAAACTGTACCCTAAACGGGCTTGTCAGTCTGCCTTCTGCGTAGGCAATTCTGCTCCACAGTTGAGCCATGTATAATAAATTAGGGCTTCTCTCAAGCAGGGAGTGCAAAATCTCTCCCGTTTGTTTTGTAGCATTAAGAAACCCTACTGACAAGGGTTAACAATTATTTCAAACACTACACTTTTCGAAAAAGGTCTTCAGTTCCTTAGTCCTCATTAAAGAAAATCAAGTATCAGGGCTTGCCTTCTCTTTCAAGTGTAATCAAGACATTAATGAAACAATATTTATCTTATCCTTCTAGGATGACAAACATACAATTGTTATTCACTTAGCTGTCTAGTCTACTAATGAGAGTAGACACAAATTTTACTACAAAACAAAAAACACTCTTGAACATTTCAGTGTTACAGAACACAAAAAAGTATTCAAAATGAATGTGCTCATGAGGCTGTGTTATAATGGGTAGCTTGTAATTTTCACTTTTTGCTTTGCCTCAATTTTATACCTTCTGTAATCTGCTTTATACACAAATTAAGAGATGTCTAAAATTAGACAAGATTTTCAATATGCTACTTTAGAGGCAGCAAAAAAAATAGGACTTTTTATTGTCACAGGTAACATTTATACACACACTCAAGTACCTCTGTCCATTACCACCACTAATATTTACAAGTTGTTTAAATTCCTTTGCATTTTAAAATATGTTAAGTAATATGTTTACCAGTATTATCCGAACTGGCTGCTACAATAAGCGTGACAGAGAAGTAGGCCTGATACAGCGTATGCTGTTGGTCTAAGTTGCATAGGGAAAGTTTTGGAGTCAGCAAGCTTCATCACAACTACCTTTTCTCGTTTCTGCGGAGGAATACGAACCAAGGCCTTCATTCATAGCTCAGCATAGCTTGTTCTATAAGTTTATCACGTCTCTTAAAAGTTTTTGCTAACTCGGCCGTAGCGTTTTCCCACAACAGGATCTCAGAGCAGCACGAAGTTTTGCTGGCGAAGGCTGTAAACACCCGGGGCTGAGAGGGCTGGGACGTGCCGAGGCCTAGCCGGCACACGCGGCCTCCTGCCGCCTCGGCTGCGCAGGGTCGCCCTTCGGCAGGGGCAGGTCCTGCCGGCAGGTCGGTGCCCCGGGAACCTCCCAGTTCTAGCCGACGGAAAAGCAGCTCGCTCCGAAAGGTTGCAGCTTGCAGCAACCATAAACTTCTTTTTGGTGCCCTGGAAAAGCTGCAGCACGCTGGTACTTGCTGGAGTCCTGCTCCTCCAGCTGAGATTTCAGCGTGTGGTTTTAACCAAATGTCACTCTCCTGTCTCCAGCTGCCTCCAGCCCTCCTGTCCGTCTCTCCTTAATCCATTCCCTGGTTGGGTGAAGTGTCACTGTGCAAAAGTTAGACGTCTGTGGCAAAAAATTTTCTGTGCGCTTGCATGTGATGCCTGTTGTGCAAAGACGTCTCATCTGTGGGCATATCTCCATTGATTTCCCAGGTCCCATCAGCAGCATCCTGGTGAACAAATACGGCAGTCGGCCTATCATGATTGCTGGTGGCTGCCTCTCGGGGTGCGGTTTGATTGCAGCCTCTTTCTGCAACACTGTGGAGGAGCTCTACTTCTGTGTCGGTGTCGTAGGGGGTAAGTGACAGCTGTACCATAGCATGAATGGAGCCAAGATAAGGCCTCTTCTGAGGCAGTAAGAGGAGTAACTTAAATCTAGCAATTGTTTACAAATGTCTACAATGAATTTGCATAAATTCTAATTCCCTTTGTACACCTGAATAAAAGATGGCCATGGCTACATAACGCAGAAAGAATGCAAGTACTCAGGCATTAATATTTGGCTGCTTAAAATGGAAAGCCTGCAATTATTCCTGTCTCAGGATTATGCCACACCAGTAAAATAAAGTTTGTTATGACTCACAGCACTTCTCTCCTTTGGACTCCCTTAACTCTTGCGCATGACTTTTTATTAATGCGCAGCTCCTCCTAGCTCCTCCTTCACGGAAGGAATCAATAGCGCGGAGGCTGTATAATCTGAAAGTTAATATGGTAGAAATTGTAGTATTAAATGCCAAGAATTGTAACCGCTGCCTGTTGCTCAGTTTCTTCAGCCCTTCTTGTGAGCGCTGTTGGCTTGCAGAAGTGGTAGAGCTCTGAGTGCCTTATCTCTCATCTTACTTTTTCAGGCCTTGGACTTGCATTTAACTTGAACCCAGCCTTAACTATGATTGGCAAGTACTTCTTCAAGAAACGTCCCCTGGCTAACGGACTAGCTATGGCAGGTAGCCCTGTGTTCCTGTCAACCTTGTTTGTTCGGGGCCCGGCAGCCCCCGTCCCGCATCAGGTTGCGCCGGCGGCTTTAGCTGAGGCGTTTGCTGGCCCCGGAGGGCAGGAGCGCTGAGCGCGTTCGCAATACGAAACGCTCGCCGCTACAGACCCTTCTGCCGTTATCCTAGTGCTTTGGGTCGGGGCGTTCCCGAAAGACTTTTCTTTCCCTTCCATTCAGATCTAGGAGAAGATACGACTTTTCACAAACCTTGCCTCGCATCCTTGCATAGTCGCTTCAGTGACTTGTAAACGTCAATAAGCTAGCTCAAGGGTAACATTCATAAAAAGGACCTTGACATTTACAATATCTAAGTTCAAAATTTAAAAGAAAAGGTAGCCTCTCTCCCTTAACCCTGGAAGCACTTAAACTTACTAGGTGGTTTTTTTTTTTTTTTTTGTTAAAGCAGAAACACCAGTGAGAAATACACATATACTCTTGTTTGTGCCCAGAACCACTCTGGCCCAAACAGCCAGCACCTAAGTTGCATTAAGTATAGAAACTGGGTGTGAATTACTGCACATTCCTCTCACATGTGCCACAGGAGAAGAGCACTTGTGGCTGGTTACCATGGTTCAGCTGATATACGGTAACTTAATGAGCTCTATTAATTTGCATGTGTATCTGATTCCCAAGATCTGGCACCAGAAGTAGAGCACCCATGGTGGAATATGAGTCTAGTTTAGCAGCTAGGACTCTTAGGTAACCCAGGTTTTATTCCCTGTTTCCTAAAATGTCTTATTTCTTTTCATTTAACAGTTACTGGATTAAAATAATAACAAAATTACCCTGGGAGAAGAGGTCTGCGACCCAAAGCTGTCCCCTTTTTCCTTTTTTTTTTTTTCCTTCAATCTGTTTAACTGTTCTGCTATAGCTATCTTTAGCATTCAGATTTTTGAATTGTTTTCCTGAGACAATTTACAGCTCTTAAGTACTGGACTTGTGCAGTGCACAACAGGGTTTTGGATTCTACTTCAGAGGCCAAATACCTGAAAGTTATTAAGCCCTGAAGTAACTGCAGATATTGAAGTCCCATTACTCCTGGATCTGCTCCTAAATAGAAAAAAAAAATAACAACAAGAAATCACTTTAATTTAGCTAATTACCAATCTGGGAAAGTTAAGACCTTTCTTATTTTAGTCATTCCAATTATTTTATTCTGTTTTACTAATCTGCTTTTCTGTCTCTCCAAATGGCTTCTATGGCTCCCAAAAACACCTGTGTGTTGAGCTCCAAACTATCTTAAAGATTTTATTTTCACATCTATTGTTGTAAGGTAACCTGCAGTGAAACTATAGACATGAAGTAAGACCCTGCTGGTTAACAGTGCAGAAAACCTGAGCCATCCTAACCGGAGTGGATCTCCGTAAGGATTCACCCACTTACAGAAAGCAACAGGATCAGGGCCTGTTAAAGCAACAAACTCTTTATTTTCACTGAGTATTAAGTTTCAGTGAGCTAATTTGTTTATAAAGTCCAGTCTTGTTATCCTTTGGTGTGAAGAAGCACTTTCGCCATTCACTTGTATTTGTGTCTTTTTCAATAGTCTACTCTAATTTTATTATCTTGTTTTATAGGTGACATCCTCCAGTGACAAAGTGACAAAGCACATTTGCAAGTATGGGACAGCATAAGCTGGATACGCTTTTCCCTTTTAAAGCTCAGTTTGCTTTATCCATAAGACTAAGATTTCAGGTTAGATAAGTTGAAAAAATTATAGAGGATGTTCTTGTCTTTGGAAACTAGCTGCCAGTTTCTTATCTTCAGCACTAACAAGTAGTTTTTATAATGATGCAGTCTTTCTTAATTCTAAAAAGCAGGCTTGTTCTGCAGCACCAGTATACTCCTACTTTAAACAATCCACACGACAGAAAGCATGTGCTAAGAAAAATCTACAGTACCAAGCCAAAACTGAAACCTCATTTACATCATTATTTCCCCTGAAGTTAATTATGACTCCTGAGGCAATACCTAATTTCTGTCCTATGACACACCGTAGCTGAGAGAGCCACATCTTGGTTTATTGGTCAGATAAGATCTACGTCCATCTGATTTATAACCATCTTTCTAGGTAAAACTTCTTGTCAGAAAATATCACAGTTTTCATTTGCACAAGGAGATAGGAATGTCAGTTTTTATTTTTTTGAAATAAATATACTAAGATCATTGCATCATTGCCTAATTTCTATGTGTACGCTTGTGTCTGTGTATAAACCAGTGCGCTTACACTTCAATATAAATTGTTCTATGGTATGTGTTAGGTTTTCTTCCCACCCTCCCTCCTCCCCTGCCACATACACTTTTTACTGTTGTTTGAATACCTCATTGTATTTGTGTTTACAGTTAAGAGTCTACAGTCCAGAATGCCCATTTAGGACTACTTAGGAATGCCAATATTTGAAGTCAGACTGACAAAGTAGGTAATATATGTGTAAATGAGATGTTGGACACTTAATATTACTAATGAGAACCTTTAGCTTCTAAAGGACAGTTATTATTCCAGATAACAATCTAATCATCACCTTTTTTTCTCTTTTGCAATTTGGACGAGTAGGAAATAATTTCTTCCACTATCCTTTACTATTCTTTGATATGTCTAATACAGGAAGGCAGAGCAGATGTTCATAATCATCCTTTTCGGCTTAAAATACACCATGAATGCTAGCTAAAAGTCGCTTTGCAAGTATACCTCCTACATCTCAACTAATAACCTGCCTAGCTGACATTGACAGCATACCACAGATTGTTTGGCTTAATTGCGTAAGACGGTATAGTTCAAAAGATGTATGCGTGCTTATTTGAAATGCGGAAGGATGCATATGAAGGAGTTGTCTAAAATACGGAACGATCTAGCTATGGCTTGACTCAAGCCTTACCCTGGACTTACCAGTAAGTATGATAAATAACAATGATATTCTCAATAAAAGGGAGCCAATTGTTCTTCTGTTTTGCTCTATATATGCATGTTTAGCAGGTTTGAAGAAGTTCATGTTACAAATAGTATCTAGTTAAAGGACTGAATTAAATGGGAATTAGAATCATAAATGTTTAGTGTCCTTTCAACTTGCTGTTATGAGCTAGAAGGAGGAAAAAAGTGTCTGTGAAAATTCTGAACACAAGTATGGAAGTTGCTGAATTCAGAAAGGGGAGACTGCAAAGCCAAATGGTTGTGGCCCTGTCATATAACTGGAAGCGTGCTCTGCTCCAGCCTGTGTTAGTGTAGTTAATCTCCTGACGCTCCCTGCTTACCTCTTGTTTCACAGTAGATCTGTTCGTGGGACTGACTGCGGTTACAAAAAAAAAAAAAAAAAGTTTGTATCTTTTCCTGCCATAACAAGAGGCTCCCTTAACTTGATGATCCAATGGAGTGATGTCCCTGAAGAAATTTACAGCAGTTACAACTGCTGTAACTTGTAATATCAACAAATGGCTCTGAATCAAGAGTCAAAGTGGTCTCCCTGAAAATCCACATAGTCCCTCTCCACTGCTTTCAAACAGAATTTAAGTGGAGTGGAGAACGAGTTATGAAATATCCCGATAGAAATGTATCTCTAAAAACGTCTGACAAAATGTTTGAAGATGTATATTGGTTATTTTGTTATTTTTTTAGACACCTCAAACACCATGTAGTTACTGTAGAACTCTAAAAAACTCAATGTTTTCTACACTATAAATACTTGTTTATTCATTTTAAAAGAGTGAATTTTATCTAAGACAGCCATGTCTTCAAAATCAAACATTTGAACTCCTCTCTGCCAGATTTTTTGTTTTTAAAAAAGGTTGAAAAAATCCTGTAAAGAAAAACAGTGTACTTGGAGTAGGGAGGAAAGGAGGAGGAGTGCTACTTTCAGTAGTGTCAGCTTCTGATGCATGTATACATCCGAGAGTAAAGGATCTTTGAATAATATTGTTTCTGGCTGAAATTATGATGAAGCTTTGGAGAAGCAATGGGGCCAGAGAACAGCTTTGATAATGTTTATGCTCATTCAGCTTTTCTCTTTACTCCAAAGCCTGTTCTTTCTACTGATATTCAATTGGACAGCTTGCAGCTAAAATAGGTAGTCCTACAAAGACTTTCCAGAGTATTAGTAAAAAAGACTATACCACGCTCTGATTCAAGTTAATATATATGTGCTTTTTCAAAACTTTGGCCTTAATTTTGCTTTTAGGCATACATAGGTGAAAAATGAGAAATTGCACGTTTCGAGGCCTTGCAGACGTAGTTCTAAACTCATAAATCTGAAAACAAGCGCACAGAACAATTTTAACTGATTGTTAATCTGATAAGAGTTTAGGGTAGAGCGGAAAGTAGAGTGGAGATGACAAGAGCATTGCCTCAAACTGAACTTGGTAATGTGAGTAATGTAAAATCTTCTCAAACTCACTCCAAACCCCTTATTAAACTAATTTAGCATTCAGTTCTGTTAACTGATTCATAGTGCTGATATTTGTGTGGACAAAGAAGATGGAGAACTTTTAACTTGTTCCAAAAACCTTAGACTTAATTGGGTCCAAATTAGCCTCTGAGGCTATATTCTCACATAATTTCTTGATGCAGTCTTGGTATATAGCCTTGACGTTATAGCTTCCACAGAAACAATCTCACTAAACTCTCCTGAAATTATATCTGATACTTGTTTTTCTTGTACACACAGATTTACCTTTCCTACATTTTCTCTCATACCTATAGAGTTGTAGTGTTTGTTCACTGCTGTCCAGTGGCTTTTGAGAACTGTAAGAGCATGCCTGGTCAGTCAGGAAGGTCCCCAGGAGACGGGTCTTTTTTGGCCGTGTATAAAACAGAAGTAGGCCAGTAATAGAGGGATTCTACTCATCTGCATGGAGTGAAGAATGAAGGAGTCGCTCAGTAACACCTTCTGTGGCGAGGGGGAAGCCCTCAAGTATTATTATTATTTCCCTCAAGTATTTAAGGTACGCCGTCAAGTAGTTCACAATTGCACAGGTTCACAGAGATAATGCATTTAAAGGTCCCTACCTACTGGTGCAAGGACTAAGGGCTCCTGGCAAAGCCAGAAGAAATCACTTATTATATATGTCCACTCTGTTGTACCTAA